TTTTCTTGTCTGACTCCATTTGGCAAAAACTTCCGGTATAGGGTTGAATAGTGGCAGTGAGTCCTAGAGGGTGACTTGACTTGTTCCTGAGCATTCTAGTGCTACACTATTAATGTTTGCTGTGTGGGAGTGGTAAATGTATCAGGCTAAGAAAGTTATTTCCTTCTGTTTTTATTGCCAAGGCTTTTTCTGTTTCTACCTTCTATTTTCTGTTTTCTTACTAAGAGTTTTTATTATGGATGAGTGTTGGATTTTAATCAGATAATTTATCTGCATCCGTTGAAATAATTTTTCTCCTTTAATTGGGTTCATGTAGTGATTTACATTGGGTGATTTTCTTTTTTTCTTTTCTTTCTTTCTTTCTTTCTTTCTTCTTTCTTTCTTTCTTTCTTTCTCTTTCTCTTTCTTTCTTTCTTTCTTTCTCTGAGGGAGAGAGAGCACGTGAGTGGGGGAGAGGGGGAGCGGGAGAGGGAGAGAGAGAATATTAAGCAGGCTCCACACCCAGCATGGAGTCCAACGTGGGGCTCGATCTCACGGTTGTGAGATCATGACCTGAGCTGAAATCAAGAGTTGGACCCGTAACTGACTGAGCGACCCAGGAGTCCCTGATTAATTTCCTGCAGCGGAATATCCTCATGTTTCTGGAACAAACCCATTTTTTTTTTAAGTGCTTTATTCTATTTATTTATTTCAAGTAATCTTGATGCCCAGTGTGGGACTCTTGATCTTGGGCCAAGAATCACATGCTCTACAGACTGAGCCAGCCAGGTGCCTCTGCAACAAACCCATTTTTTTTTTTAATATAATTTATTTTCAAGTTAGCTAACATACACTGTGCTCTTGGCTTTGGGAGTAGATTCTCATGATTTGTCGCTTCCATACAACAGCCAGCGCTCATCCCAACAAGTGCCCTCCTCAGTGCCCATCATCTGTCCTCCCCTCTCCCCCACCCCCATCAACCCTCAGTTTGTTCTCTGTATTTATTTAAAAAAAATTTTTTTTTCAACGTTTATTCATTTCTGGGACAGACAGAGACAGAGCATGAACGGGGGAGGGGCAGAGAGAGAGGGAGACACAGAATCGGAGACAGGCTCCAGGCTCTGAGCCATCAGCCCAGAGCCTGACGCGGGGCTTGAACTCACGGACCGCGAGATCGTGACCTGGCTGAAGTCGGACGCTTAACCGACTGCGCCACCCAGGCGCCCCTGTTCTCTGTATTTAAGAGTCTCTTATGGTTTGCCTCCCTCCCTCTCTGTTTGAAACGACTTTTTCCCTCTCCCTTCCCCCACGGTCTTCTGTTAAGTTTCTCAAATTCCACATATGGGTGCAAACATGTGATATCTGTCTTTCTCTGACTTCACTCAGCCGAATACCCTCCAGTTCCATCCACGGCAGCACACCCATTTGGATGGCAGTGTGTCATTTGACCAGATGCTGAATTAAATTTGCCACTATTTTGTTTAGGATTCTTGTGCCTGTGTTCAAAACTGAGACTATCTTTTCTGGTAATGTCCTTGCCCGGTTTTGTTATCTATATTATACAGTCTCATAAAATGAGTTGAGTAGCTCTCCTTTTTTTTTTTTTTTTAAACTAATTTTCTGAAATGAATTGTAACAATACAGGAATTACAGGTCCCTTGAAGTTTTTTTCTTTTAACTTGTCTGGTCCTTGTTTTTTTTTTCTTTTTTTTTTTTTTTTTTTTTTTTTTTTTTTTTTTTTTTTGTCTTTGGTCTAAGTTTGCGGGGGAGGTGTTTGGGGGTTAAGGGAAGGAATGTGAGTGGGAAGAAGCGAGAGAAAAAGGAGAAATTTTAAAATATCAACTCTCTGTGTCTTTAGTGCTTATTGATATGTATGTAGATTGAGTCCGTTTTTAAGTGTTTCTATAGCATTATCCACTTGATATAAAATCACCAATTTGGGGTCATAAAAGTTGTTCATAGCATTCTCCTTTGCTTTTTTTTTTTTTTTAATTTTTTTTTCAACGTTTATTTATTTTTGGGACAGAGAGAGACAGAGCATGAACGGGGGAGGGGCAGAGAGAGAGGGAGACACAGAATCGGAAACAGGCTCCAGGCTCTGAGCCATCAGCCCAGAGCCTGACGCGGGGCTGGAACTCACGCACCGCAAGATCGTGACCTGGCTGAAGTCGGACGCCCAACTGACTGCGCCACCCAGGAGCCCTTCTCCTTTGCTTTTAAAAACATTCTAATACATGTGAAGTCACGTCCCTCTTTTGGTTCTTACCAGTTATTTTCTATAATTTTAAGTTGCTTTCATATCCAGATATTTTCATTTCACTTATGCCTGATTTATTTCATATTTTCTTTTTCATACATGTGATTCTGTTATTTCTTGCTTCAAAGATTAAAAAAAAATGGGGCGCCTGGGTGGCTCAGTCGGTTAAGCGTCCGACTTCGGCTCAGGTCATGATCTCACAGTCCATGAGTTCAAGCCCCACATTGGACTCTGTGCTGACAGCTCGGAGCCTGGGGCCTGCTTCAGATTTTGTCTCCCTCTCTCTCTGCCCCTCCCCCACTCATGCTCTGTCTCTCCTTGTCTCAAAAATAAATAAATATTAAAAAAAAAGAACAAAATATTAAAGATTAAAAAAAATTTAACGTTCCTTTTTGAGAGAGAGAGAGAAAAAGAGACAGAGAGCGAGCATGAATGGGGGAGGGGCAGATTGAGACGGAGACACAGACTATGAAACAGACTCCAGGCTCTGAGCTGTCAGCACAGGGCCCGATTTGGGGCTCGAACCCATGAACCGCGAGATCATGACCTGAGCCAAAGCTGGACGTTTAACTGACTGAGCTACCCAGGTGCCCCATATTGCTTCAAAATTTTAAGCATTCTCATTTTAAATCGTTTTTGGATTCCTCTGTTATTGCCAGTCTATCTGGAATGGGCTCATCTCTGTGGTCAAGCCGTGGTGGACTCATTGGCTGTTGTTCATCCTAATTTTTCTTTGGGTGTTTTGTAATTTTTGTGGGTGAGCTCATCCTGAGTAGGAGATTTTGTTTGCTTGTTTTCTTTTCTCTCTCCCTTCCCTGCCTGGACTCTGCCTCATGGTGATATCGGGGTTATGGAAGAGCCAGTTTCTGGGCCTGACGGTGGCGTGGCACAGGTCATGGCTGGGGGGGGCGGGGGTGGCGTCATTTCTGTTTGGGCCCAGACGTGTGTGCAGGGCTGATAGCCGTCCTGGGGTTCCTTGCCTGGCAGGGAGTAAGGTGGCGAGGGATGGAGGGTGTGCAACTTAGCTCCATTCTGTGGCTTCTAGCAACAAGCCTGGCTCTGGGGGCGCCTGGGTGGCTCAGTCGCTCAAGCGTCTGATTCTCGATTTGAGGTCATGATCTCAGCGTTTGTGGGATGGAGTGCACCACTGGGCTCTGTGCTGACATCGCGGAGCCTACTTATGACTCTTCCCCTCCCCATCTCTCTGTGCCCCTCCCCCCAACACGCACAAAATAAATAAATAAGCACTAAAAAAAAAAAAAAAAAAAAAAAGCCCGGCTCTGGACCCGCACATCCCATGAGACACCTTAATTCGGTCACCCCTCAGAATCAGCCTCCGCCGATGCTTCTGGTTCCAGAATGCAGCAGGCCCCAGCTCCAGCCCCGCTCAACGGCTTTTTATTTCTGTTCCTTGGGAACTACTGTGTGCTTTGGAGCATGGCGATATCTTTGTATCTTTATGATTGCTCTATGTCGGGAAAACTAAGGAATCTCGAACAGAAAGCTACGCTGCCAACTTAGCCAGGAGTCCCCGACCTTGACCACATCCTATAGTAATTCATGCCCCGGGTTCTCTCTTTCCCACAAAAGAACCCGAGGTGTCTCGTGGCCCAAGGAAAGGGAGGAAATGATTCATTTGACAGGCCCTTGAACACGATTTACTTGACCCTTTCCACCGATCACTTTTCTCTCACTCCCTCAGACCCGAGGGGAGCTGACGTAATGGTGCAACAGGTATTTACAAAAGGGGTTTCTGGGGCGCCTGGGTGGCGCAGTCGGTTAAGCGTCCGACTTCAGCCAGGTCACGATCTCGCGGTCCGGGAGTTCGAGCCCCGCGTCAGGCTCTGGGCTGATGGCTCAGAGCCTGGAGCCTGTTTCCGATTCTGTGTCTCCCTCTCTCTCTGCCCCTCCCCCGTTCATGCTCTGTCTCTCTCTGTCCCAAAAATAAATAAACGTTGAAAAAAAATTTTTTTTACAAAAGGGGTTTCTGGAATGATGACGTCTGTCATTCTGAGAGGGAGCGCTGCCGTAGGGATCTGGAGCTGTCGCCCACAAGCCATGGGTGGGGTGATGGCTTTCAGCATGTTTTTATATAATATTTTTGCTTCCCTTCCCTTATGTTCATCTGGGTTTTTTTTTTTTTATCTTAAATTCCTCAAATGAGTGAAGTCATATGATGTTTGTCTTTCTCTAATTTCGCTTAGCGTGATACCCTCCGGTTCCATCCACGTGGCTGCAAATGGCAAGATGTCATTCTTTTTGGTTGGCGAGTAATACTCCGTTGTATAGACATCCCGCATCTTCTTTATCCATCCATCCATCGATGGACATTTGGGCTCTCTCCATACTTTGGCTGTTGTCGATAGTGCTGCTATAAACATGGGGGGGGGCACGTGTCCCTTCGAAACAGCACCTGTATCCCTTGGATAAATGCCTAGTAGTGCAATTGCTGGGTCGTAGGGCGGTTCTATTTTTAACTTCTTGAGGAGCCTCCATACTGTTTTCCAGAGTGGCCGCACCAGTTTGCATTCCCACCAGCGGTGCGAGAGAGATCCCCTCTCTCCGCATCCTCGACACCATCTGTTGTTGCCCGAGTTGTTCATGTGAGCCATTCTGACAGGTGTGAGGTGGTATCTCATTGTGGTTTTGATTTGTGTTTCCCTGATGATGAGTGAAGTTGAGCATTTTTTCATGTGTCGGTTGGCCATCTGGATGTCTTCTGTGGAGAAGTGTCTGTTCATGACATCCACCCTTTCTTGGCCAGAGCGGAAGCTGAGAGACCTGGTGACCATCGCCACCAAAACTTTCCTCCGTCCCCACAAGCTCATGACCATGCTCCGGAGCATTCGGGAGTTCTACCCAGACTTGACCGTGATCGTGGCCGATGACAGCAAGGAGCCCCTGAAGATTAACGACGACCATGTGGAGTATTACACCATGCCCTTTGGGAAGGTGTGTCCCCGGCAGATGGGGAGGCATCTGGGTCCTGGGACCCAGAGTCCGTTCTTCCCTGGATGGGGCTGCCTGAGTGGCCTTCCCAAGGAAGCCCGAATCTGGGGTGGAGGGGGTGGGGCTCTTCTCTGAGCCCCGTTGCTGACTCCACCTTCACAGAGAAATCGGGTCACTCTTACTTTTCTGCACTAACGAGGCGAGCAGTCCGTGTTTCCTCACGCTTGGTGTGGACATTAGTCTTTCTAAGTGACCTGAGGTGTCGGACATCCTAAGGATTCCTGACCTGCAGATTCAAGAGCAGAGAACCTCGTGATCCCTATGATTCCACCCAAGCTAGAGGCACTCTCCCTCTCTCCCTTTCTCTCTCCTTCACATACCCTTTCCTGCAAGGACACACAGAAAGAAGAGGGGATGATATATACTATAGCGTCCCACCCTCCAACACTTTCCAGGCACCAGGAGGGGAAGTGGAGAGAGAGTCACAGAGTCAGGCGAGAAAGGACTCCGGTCACCCCACATTGGCCCTGGGACCAACGAAGGGCTTCCTGGCCTTTTCTTTTCTTTTCTTTTTTTTTTTTTTAACGTTTATTTATTTTTTGAGACAGAGAGAGCATGAACGGGGGAGGGTCAGAGAGAGAGAGGGAGACACAGAATCGGAAGCAGGCTCCAGGCTCCGAGCTGCCAGCCCAGAGCCCGACGCGGGGCTCGAACCCGCGGACCGCGAGGTCACGCCCTGAGCCGAAGTCGGACGCTCCACCGACTGAGCCGCCCAGGCGCCCCTCCTGGCCTTTTCTTCATGTCAACCTCTGATTCAGGGAGTCCCTGTCCTTCCTCCTGTTTGGGGTGCAGCCTGGCTGTTGGGAACTTAGCAAGCTCCCGGGGGATTCTAACACGCGCCCGGGGCCGGCAACCTCTGCTCTCTCCTCATTCCACCCGCAGGGCTGGTTCGCCGGTAGGAACCTGGCCATCTCTCAGGTCGCCACCAAATACGTTCTCTGGGTGGATGATGATTTTCTCTTCAACGACAAGACCAAGATTGAGGTGCTGGTGGATGTCTTAGAGAAAACGGAACTGGACGTGGTAAGGCTGAGCTGCCGCTTTTTGCCCCACCCCCACCCCCGCTGCAATCTGTAGAGACAGCTAAGAGAGGGAAGGGGAAGGGGAGGGAAGAGAGGTAGAGGCAGGGGAGGGAGGGCTCCCGGGAGGGCGAGGGGCTCATGCAGGAGATGGGTAAGCCAGCACAGCTCGGGTTGAGAGCGCCACACTGGGGATCAGGAGGTGTGCGGCCTCCGTCTCTGCCTCCATATTTACTTTTCTTTGAGTAAATGACCCCCCCCCCGCCCCACCCCTGCTCCGCTCCTAACCCTTGTTCTATCTTTAAAACGGTGTGTTTATGGGATCACTTCTAACTTCCTCCCCGGACCGGTGTGAGGGGAAACAGAGCAGTGCTCTCTGTTGCTGTCACACGCCATTGATTTGTTTTATTGTATTATTATTATTATTATTATTTGTAAACACTTTTTATTGTTTATTTTTGAGAGGGTCCGAGCATGAGCCGAGGAGGGGCAGAGAGAGGGGGAGACACAGACTCGGAAGCAGGCTCCGGGCTCCGAGCTGTGCGCACAGGGCCTGACGCGGGGCTCGAACTCATGGACCTGAGATCCGTGATCTCACGGATCTCACGGATCTCACGGTCGTGAGATCACGGCCTGAGCCGAAGTCGGACGCTTCACCGACTGAGTCCCCCCAGGCGCCCTTCTGTCACACATCATTAAAAAAAAAAAAAATGTGAAGGGTACAACGTTTTTAAAAGCGTACGTAGCCTTATTGAGGTTAAAAAAAAGAGGAAGAAGAAGGAGAAAGAAGGGACGCCTGGGTGGCTTAGTCAGTTAAGCATCCGACTCTTGATTTCGGCTTAGGTCACGATCCTGGGGTTGTGAGGTCGAGCCGTGCATCAGGCGCTGCTCTGAGCGTGGAGTCTGCTTGGGATTCTCTCTTTCTCTCTTTCCCTCTGCCCCTCTCCCCTGCTCTCTCTGGCTGTCTCGTAATTTAGTCCACTTAAAACTCAGAGGGTCTATTTGCTGAACGAAGAAGGAAAGAAGTGGTGATTCTTCTCTCCTCTCAGGGTGGGGGTGGGTGGGGGGGGGCCCAGGAGCAGAGCAGGGGGAGGGAGGCAGCTCGAGACACAAGGCCCCTTGCAGGAGGGCCGGCAGTGGTGACTCCACAAAGGGACCCTTGTGCACGCAGGCTGCTGCGGGCCTGCCCCCAAGCACTGCTCCGCCTCGTGGGAGGGAATGACTTACCTTCTGGAAAGAGAGAGCTTGCTGTAGGGTAAGCGGAGCAGGCTTGTCTGCCCTTTGGACATGGTGCTTTCTGCTCCCAGCAGCGAGATCTCCTGGGGTGAGCAGGAGTGAAAAGGTCAGGGGCGCCTGGGTGGCTCGCTTGGCTAAGCGTCCGACTTCAGCTCAGGTCGTGATCTCCTGCTTTGTGAGTTCGAGCCCCGCATCAGGCTCATCTGCTGTCAGCCTGGAGCCTGCTTCGGATCCTCTGTCTCCCTCTCTCTCTCTCTCTCTCCTCCTCCCCTGCTCACTCTCTCTCCCCAAAATAAACATTTTTTAAAAAGGAAGGAATGAAAAGATCAACGGACCTTGCTGGTGTGTGGAAAGGCATGTTGCGACAGCAAAAAGAGTGAATCCAAGGGATAGTATGAAGGGTAGATACGGAACAGGAGTGATTCTTTTTCTTTTTATTTTTTTACATTTTTTAAAAATGTTTATTTATTTTTGAGAGAGAAACAGAGCGCAAGCAGGGGAGGGGCAGAGAGACGGGGAGACACGGGATCTGAAACAGGCTCCAGGCTCGGAGCCGTCAGCTCAGACCCCGACACGGGGCTCGAACGCGGTAACGGTGAGATCATGACCTGAGCAGAAGTCAGATGCTTAAGCCAGGCGCCCCAGGCGTGATTCTGGTAACTGACGTGGTTTGGAGTGTTGGGGTTTGGAGCCGATGGGCCAGGAAAGAATTCTTGAGACACCTTCGGTGCAAAAATGTGTTTTTATTATAGCACGAGGGGACCCTTAGGCGTTATAAGTGTGTGAGAAGCGACTGGTTATATGAGAGTTTCTGTCCTCTGGAGAGGATGGTGGCATGAGGGTTCCAGGAAATCGACTCTCTCTGTTTCTGAGATTACTTTTTTCTTGTAAATCAACAGAGTTGCAAACTGAGGGGGACTCAGGTCCCGCAGGACTGTGATCTCTACCAGTTAACCATTTGTTTTTGCCTCTCCTTTGTTCTCAGGCAGGGGTGCCTGAGGAAACTCACGCACATCCCACCGTGGCTGTGGGGGTGGGGTGTGGGGGTGGGGTGGGGGGTGTCAGCTTCTGCTTTGCCCTCAGCCTGCCTTTTGCTCCCTCGTTTAGTCCAGGAAGGCTTCCTGGCAGAGGCAACCTGAATATCAAGTCTGTGTTCTCTGACGCGCGTCTCTCTGCCCACGGGTCAGGTGGGTGGCAGTGTGCTCGGGAACGTGTTCCAGTTTAAGCTGTTGCTGGAGCGGAGTCAGAATGGGGACTGTCTTCACCGGAGGCCGGGCTCTTTCGGACCCCTGGATGGCTTCCCCCGCTGTGTGGTGACCAGCGGCGTGGTCAACTTCTTCCTGGCCCACACAGAGCGACTGCAGAGAGTTGGCTTCGACCCCCGCCTGCAGCGAGTGGCTCACTCAGGTGGGGAAGAGCTGGAAGGGTGAGGAAGGTTCTGGCCTCCGGACCGACCTCAGGAGTCTGTTCTTTCCAAGGGACACGCACCACCGATCGTGGTCCTTGCCTGCCACGCTGGGCGTCTCTCCCTTTTCCCCCAGACTAGGGAGTTCAAGGTCTCTCTTGCCTCCCTTCTCCCCCCTCGTTTTGCCTCTTATCCCCCAACGGCTGCTCCCATGTGAGACGCCCTCCCCCTATAGGTCGGTCCCCTCCCTCGTTCCCCTCTTGCTCCCTCAGTTCGGGAGTTCATAGTTCTGTCCAGCCGGAAAGCTGATCTGTGTCTCTCTGTGTCTCTGGCCACATCCCTGAGAAACGTGCTTATGAATTCCTTCGCACTCATCAGCCTGGCAGGTGGCTTTGCATGGGCTCCACCTCCCGAGGGGTATAAACTGTGCCCTGCCCCCTACCACGCCCCCCCCCTCTTCCCCGCCCCCCTGCCCGGACCCTGGGATATTGGCCCTGGGGTCTCTCTAGCTGATGTTCTCCCTCTCTTCACAGAGTTCTTTATTGATGGGCTCGGGAGCTTGCTTGTGGGGTCGTGCCCAGAAGTGATCGTAGGTCACCAGGCCCGTTCTCCAGCGGCGGACCTGGAGAAGATGTACAGCGCGTTCCGGACCAACACCCACGACCAGATCCAGTTCAAGCTGGCTCTCCATTACTTCAAGAACCATCTCCAGTGCTCCACATAAAGGTGCCCGAGCATCAGGAATGCTCTAGACGTACCCGTCGTGGGACCCAGAACAGCGGGACTGGTGCTGGGGATACCCAAGTATAGACTCCTGAGAAGACGGATGTTGGAAAGAATAAGCCAGCGGGTGGGGCAGATGGGTCAGGCTCAGGGACGAGAAATGCCCGTCAGAGCCTAAGGGTCGTTAGAAAGGGACCAACCCCCGATAGGGGCAATAGAGGCGTATCAACAACAGTCATTATTTGTTTGTAGGACCCGTTACCAGTTAGGGACACACAGCATCTCGCATCGTCTCATTTGACCTCACGCAAAAGAGTCCATGGTGGGTTGTATCCTTGGTCGAAAGAGTGGCTGCTGGGGTTTTGAGGGTTATTCGGTAGAAGTTATATCATGGTCAGCGGCACCACTTCCGGCATCCACAAATGTTTGTTTGTTGTCACCCTGGGGGCTCCGATAATGTGAATGACGCAGGGTCCTTGCCTCCAGGAGGCTGCAGCCTGGTCCAGTCGAGTCCGCTAAGCGGAATCGTGCAGCCAGGTTCGGAGAAGCGGAGGAGGAAGGGTGACCAGTGCCCGGGCAGCTGAGGAAGGGTCTGTGAAGTGAGCTTGTCGGGAGGCTAGAAGCCAAGGGGATTCAGGCAGCGGGGGGGGGGGGGGGCCAGCGCTGGAGTCCACCGTCCACCAGAACAAAGGTTTCCCTGGCATCAGACTCACCACCGCAAGGCCACGTTTCCAGAACGCCAGGGATTGAACTCCGACCCCGTGCTAAGCAAGGTGCTGTGGTAAACAGAGTAAGTGCGATGGCATTTCCGGGAACTGGACACCAACTGCTGACCACTCAAGTCCCTGGCCGTCTGCAGAGAGGAGCCATCACATGTTGTTGAGGAAGGCTTTTTCTGTTATCTCAGGAGTCAGTAGATTCCCCAAGTGCTGTATTAGCCCTGCCGTTAGGGTTTCCACTCTTTCCTGCGGAAGATCGCCGAGGGGAGTTCAGGATTTCTGAAAACGGGGCTGTGGGCTGGGAATAAAACGTCATGAAAAATGTTGTGGTGGTCCGATGATTTTGGAAAATACCGCAAGACGTAGCTCCCTCTTGGAAAGTTGCGATCCACATTAGCACATGTGAATTAGCATGGCAGTTCGCTAATTCACGTTAGCATAGGCTCTGAGAAGTCCTGCAATAAAGAAAGTCAGGTTGATTTTGTTTAATTCGGCCTTGCCTGGGTATGGATATACGCTGGCAATCTTTTTTTTTTTTTTTTTTTTTTTTTAATTCTCCCAAACCCAGAATTGAACGCATACCTCATCCCGTTGTGTAGGTCATAAAGATTCTATTGCAAAAGCTGCGGCAGCTTTAACTAACAGGGACATTCGGTGCTGGTCCATGCACTTGACCTCCAATAACATAGCTATATAGGAAGACCATGTTGGATTGTCCCATCCAGTCCTGCCTTTAGAACCAGGCAGAAAAGCCCCTATCTGGAACCTTTAGAGAACCTTGTGTATCACATGTGCTTGCTGACGAACATCTGGGCATCTCCGTCACTCGGATCCAGTGCTCTGTTACTCTCGATATTCACTCCTGGGACTAACAGCATTCAGGCCCCGGGGAAATGCTTCTCCACACCTTCTGTCTTCAAAAGACGGCTGCATCCGGGGCTCAGTGAAAGCCTGAGGCCGTTCTTTGGATGCAGGTAAGACTTGAGCTGCAAAATGCTTAGGTAAGAGAAAAAGACGAATGTTTTAATTTGTTAAATTCTTCCTCTCAGATCCCACACAGAGCAGGAGAGTTGTGGTTCTAAAAGCGCTAAAAAAATCAGCGTAGTTTTCACAACAACTGCACATAGTGTCTTCTGGGACATTTAAAAAGAGTAAACCATTTGTACTCTTTAGTTTTTTTAAAAAATTTTTTAGTGTTTATTTATTTTGAGAGAGAGAGAGACAGCGCGCGAGCAGGGGAGGAGCAGAGAGAGAGGGAGACACAGAATCGGAAGCAGGCTCCAGGCTCCGAGCCGTCAGCCCAGAGCCCGACGCAGGGCTCGAACTCACGGACCGTGAGATCATGACCTGAGCCGAAGTCGGCCGCCTAACCGACTGAGCCACCCAGGCGCCCCTAAATTGGGTTTTTAAATGAGCTTTTGTCCATTATCATTTTGATTTTGCCTTTTAATCTTAATAGATCATTTTGAGTATTTACAATTCTTTTTTAAGATCTTTTTTTTTTTTTTTTTTTTTTAAAGCCGTCTCCACACCCAGGACCCAAACCCACAACCCTGAGATCGAGTCAACATGCTCCAAGCAACTGAGCAAGCCAGGTGCTCCAATTTTGAGTATTTCAGAAGAAAAATCACTTTCAAAACATGCAAAATAACTTTAATTTAAAAATGGTTAACATTGGCTTCAGTTTACCCTTAGGGTACATTTCTTGCAGTTTGAACACAACCGTCTTTTATTTTTTTAATTCCTTGGATTATTGCGACTCAGTGTGCAGGTCTACAGATTCCAAAAGAGCATGTGTCAAAAGGTAGTCAACACACTGCGTCCTTCATTGAGAAAGTCTTGCCACGAAAAACAGGCTCAACTAAAACAAAGGGCTGAAGGATCTAGATGGTTTTAATTCTGATGCAATCTCCAGGCAGAGAGGTAGCAAAGAGCTCGCAGACCAGACCTCAGGGCATACTTTGGATTAAGGGTTGACAAAATTTTTGCAAAGGACAAGATGGTAATTATTTTAGATTTTGTGAGCCACTTAAGGTCTCTATCACATATTCTTTTTTTTTTTTTTCCCCCATAACCCTTTAAAATGTAAAAACAATTCTGAGCTTGTGGGGCCCAAACTAAACCATACAGGCTGTCTTCGGTCCATTGGATATAGTTTGTTGACAGTTTAGCGCTGTCATTGGCAAAAAAAAACCCAAACAAACCAAGACAAAAAACCGAGGTGCCTGGGTGGCTCGGTCAGTTATGTGTCCAGCTTTGGCTCAGGTCATGATCTCGCAGTTCGTGGGTTCGAGCCCCGCATCGGACTCTGTGCTGACGGCTCAGAGCCCGGAGCCTGCTTCCAATTCTGTGTCTCCCTCTCTCTCTGCCCCTCCCCTGCTCGTGCTCGGTCTCTGTCTCTCTTGAAAATAAACATTAAAAAAATTAAAAAAACAAACAAAAAGCCCAAACTTCCATTGGCTACAAATTACGTGAAAAATGTCGATTATAAAAACATAATTAGTGAATTTCCACAACAAATTCCAATAATTTGTGGAAACAAAAGCAAGAAAGTTACATTATATGGCATAAATATGATAAATTATGAATTATATTCATTATCTATCTACTTTTTCTTTTTTTAATGCTTATTTATTTTTTGAGTATGTTTATTTCTTTTTGAGCGCATATTTTTTCTTATCCATGTGTCACCAGTGCATGAACTAAACAACCAGACATGCTCAATGATTGTTAAATTCCGTTGCTTCGGTATCTTGCCAACTTTTAGTCCTGTGGAAGCCACAGCTTGACAATATTTGCGATTTTGCCATTATGAAAAATTTTTTTAATGTTTATTTATTTTTGAGAGAGAGAGTGAGACAGAGCATGAGCAGGGGAGGGGCAGAGAGAGAGGGAGACACAGAATCGGAGGCAGGCTCCAGGCTCCGAGCTGTCAGCACAGAGCCCGACGTGGGGCTCGAGCCACGAACCGTGAGGACGCGATCTGAGCCGGAGTCAGACGCTTAACCGACTGAGCCACCCAGGTGCCCCGTGATTTTGCCATTATAAAGATAGATTTGTCAAGGTTAAGAGGCTAGAACATGTATCTTAACAGTTTGCTAGTTTCAGTGATTATTAGCTTTTAAACACTGAAATACTTTTGAATAGTTAAGATATAAATAAAATATTTAAATATATTTTTTAAATGTTCATTTATTGTGAGAGAGCGAGAGGGAGAATGGACATGCGCGTGAGCGGGGGGATGGGCAAAGAGAGGGAGAGCGAGAACCCCAAGCGGGCTCCAGGCTGTCAGCTCAGAGTCCGACGTGGGGCTCAGCCCCACCAACCGTGAGCGCATGACCTGAGCCGAAACTAAGGGTCGGATGCTTAACCGCCTGAGCCACCCGGGTGCCCCTACAATTTTTTTTTTTAATTTTTTTTCAACGTTTTTTATTTATTTTTGGGACAGAGAGAGACAGAGCATGAACGGGGGAGGGGCAGAGAGAGAGGGAGACACAGAATCGGAAACAGGCTCCGAGCCATCAGCCCAGAGCCTGACGCGGGGCTCGAACTCACGGACCGCGAGATCGTGACCTGGCTGAAGTCGGACGCTTAACCGACTGCGCCACCCAGGCGCCCCTACAATATTTAAATATTGAGACAGCTATTTAATTTGTCCCAGGCCTGCTTCCAGAAAAGTGTCTGCCTTCCTAAGTAAATATTGCATTCATGCTATAGGAAAACACAGTTGTGTGCTTTCAACAGAAACGAGAGCGTCCTGCAACGTCCTTCAGCGGGGACTATTCTGACATGCTGTCCTTGTCGTGGGTATGTTCCAGCCAGGCACATTTTTTCCGCCCCCGTCCCAAGATCTGGAACCGTTTAGTCCAGCAGGGAAGAGTCGTTCAAACGGAGCTCTTGGAGGGTGTTTGCCTAAACTGCGAGCCAACTTTCCAGGCAGGTCAACTACCCAGAGAGTGTGTGACTCCACAGCCTGGTCAAAATGTATCAGACCAAGAGCGTCAGGCTCCTGCACCCGCGGCCAGCCAGGCTGTGTCTCCTGGAATTTGAATCGGTCCCGCAAAGCAAGGCTCTCCGGGTGGCCGGACGTCAGATGTCACGCACGCAGGAGCTGCGGACATGCCCCTTCCACCGCGTGGACTGAGGGGCTGAGAAGGCCCGCCTGCAGCTAGAAAAAAAAAATGCAACGTGTGCTCAAGGAGAAGCTGAAATGAGAGACGCCTGCCAGCCTTCTGGTTCTTTCTCGAGGTCTGGCTACAGTCCTGCCCTGGGATTTTGTGAAACGCTATACCCTTATAATTCTTCCTTTTTGCTTAACCTAATTTGAGTTGGCTCCTGTTACTTATAACCACAGTGTCCTGAATCATACAACCATTCTGTGTGTCCGCCTGTTCTCAAACCAGAAAAGCATAAACGAAAAGTCTTCTCCTTGGGTGGTTTGGAAGCAGAAATCGGGTCACAGACAGTAACAGGCACACAGGCCTCCCTCGAGCCTTGAATTTCAGACACGAGCAAGCAGCCCGGACCAAAGCAATGACACAAGTTTCCTTCCAGGGCAGTGAAAGTGAAGTAGCCTTTACAATGGTGAAGGAGGGCAAAGGTAGTGAAGGAATCCTTCCGGATACTTCTGCGAGACACCAAAT